AAGGATTCCTTTATTACCAGCATTGCCCAGTGCAAGACATGCCACCACCATTTTTTTTTTATTGATTTCAGAGAGGGATAGAAATATCAGTGATGAGAATCATGGATCGTCTGCCTCCTGCACGCCCCCTACTGGGGATACAGCCTGCAACCTGGGCATGTGCCCTTGACCAGAATCGAACCTGGGACCCTTCAGTCCACAGGCCGACACTATATCCACTGAGCCAAGCCAGCTAGGGCATGCCATCACCATTTTTATGTAGTACTATGACAAATTGTGTGATAATATATCTTTTGAGGAGCAGTAAAATAAGATAGTAGTACAATATTCAAAAAAATGCAGTACTTTAACTGGGTAATTGCTTTCCAAAAGTGTATCATTTTACCATGATAACCTATGCCGTAATTAAACAAAATTCAGTCTGATTCTCCTTTTCCCCCACAGGTAGCTTTGGATATGTTGAATCCTCAAGTTGCTTTGCCTGTTTTATACCCTAATCTTAAACAGGGTGGTACATGTGCTGTATATCTAGCAAAGTGAGTGATGTGGCTATTACTTGTGATTTTAAACACATGTTCATTTTGTAACTGATTTAGGCATATACACTGAGTGGCCAGATTATTATGACCACCTGACGTTTGTAGGCAAATTATCCATACACTGCACCGTACACTGCATGGGATATGGAAGCCCAAGGCCTGTTCGAACACCTTTGCTGTCTGCAGTTACCAAGATAAAACGTCTCAAATTCGCACAGGAACACAAGGATTGGACAGTCCAGCATTGGAAAAGAGTCATGTGGACCGATGAATCACATTTCCAGTTGCATCATGCAGATGGCAGAGCGAGAATTTGGCGGAAACAGCATGAAAGCATGCACCCTACATGCATGAGTACAACCCTTCAAGCTGGTGGGGGCAGTGTTATGGTTTGGGGCATGTTTTCCTGGCATGATTTGGGCCCTTTAATTCATGTGGAACAATGTCTGAATAGCACAACCTCA